ACTCTTGGGGTTTCTCCAGTCTCTGTCAGGCCAGTAAGTCTGGTCTTTTTTTGTGAGTTAGAATTTTGTTCTACATTTTTCTCCAGCTCTTTCGGGGACTGTCTATTGTGATCCCTGTCAGAGCAGTCAGTGGTGGTAGCCGGGCACCATCTAGTTGCACTGGACTCAGTCTGGTGAAGGCAGTGGTAGATGTGGTCCATTAGTCCTTTGGACTATCTTTCCCTTGTGTCTTTAGTTTTCTTCATTGTTTTTTGCTCCTGAAGGCTTTTAAGACCCCAGACGCTACTGGTGAGGATTTTTAAAGGATTACTACGTCTAAGGTACTTTAGAGGAGCCCTGGTAGCGAAGTGGTTAAGAGCTCAGGCTGCTAACCAAAAGTTCAGCAGTTCAAATCCACCAGTTGCTGCTTGGAAACCCTATGGAGCAGTTCTACTCTGTCCTATAGGGTTGCTATGAGTCGGAATTGACTCCACCGCACACAACAACAACAAGGTGTTTAGAATGCGCAACAATGTTACTGTTATTAAGATACTGTTCTCTTTTTTTTAAAGATAAAAGACTGAGGCTAAAAGTATAAGTATATGCCTAAGGTCTTATAGCAAGTAAGTGTTAGAGTTGGGAGGAGAACCCACATTAACCAATACTGTAAACTGAAAGAGACCTTAGGAGTCCTTTAGTTAAGCCATCACTCCTGCCCCCAGGATGTTTAAATCCCCTCTGTAATATTCTGCCTCTGCTTGAGTATTATCAGAAAAAGAGAATACATTTTTCCTCAAAGTAACTTATTCCATTTGTGAACAATTCTGATTATTAAGATGCTCTTTCTTTTGAGCAAAAATCTACCTTCTAAATTTATTATCAAATGCTCACATACTCTGTAAATTTTCTCTTTAGTAGGCTCAACATGATATGATATGTGACACAAAGAAAAGAAATGCCGTGGCTTCTACTGACTAAACATTTCTGCAAATACATATGGGTTTTGGTAGAGTTCTGTACAGAAAGTCATTGTTTCTTGGATAAGTACAAAACATTTCTAATATAATGTGAGAGAAATAGTGATCTAGAAAATATATAACAAGAATTGTTCATTCTGAATTCAAGTTTATTTTTCTTATAGTTCTTGTTTGACCAAGAAAGTAAGATTATGAAAATACTGCAGTGTAGGAGAAAATATGAGTACCAAAAAAAAAAAATCAGAAAACTTGCTTATTTTTATTTTTATTAAACATTTACGAATGTTGGCGAGGATGTGGAGAAATTGGAGCCCTCATCCTTTGCTGGTGGGAATGCAGAATGGTACAGCCACTGTGGAAAAGTTTGGTGGTTCCTCAAAAAGTTTAATATAGAACTACCATACCCGATGCCGTTGAGTTGATTCCAACTCATAGTGACCCTATAGGACAGAGTAGAGCTGCCCCATAGAGTTTCCAAGGAGTGGCTGGTGGATTGAAACTGCTGAACTTTTCGTTAGCACATGAGCTCTTAACCGCTGCGCCACAAAGGCTCCATAAAAACCAAAAACCAAACCCGTTGCGGTCAAGTCGATTCCAACTCATATGACCCAGCAATTCCACTCTTCGATATATACCCAAGAGACTTGAAAGCAGAGATGCAAACACACACGTACACCAATGTTCATTGCAGCACTGTTCACAATTGCCAAAAGATGGAAACAACCTAAACATCCACCAACAGATGAATGCATGTGGTGCAGTGGTTAAGGGCTCGGCTGCTAACCGAAAGGTCAGTGGTTTGAACCTACCAGCTGCTCCAGGGGAGAAAGATGTGGCAATCTGCTTCTGTAAAGATTTACAGTCTTAGAAACCCCATGGGGGCAATTCTGCTCTGTCCTATAGGGTCACTATGAGTTGGAATCGACTTGACAATAATGAGGATGTACAGTCATGCCCTGCATAATGTCTGGCTGGGTGACATCTGACCTTATATATGTCTGTGGTCCCTTAAGGTTATAATAGAGTTCAGAAATCCCAAGGAGAGAACAGGATGTGGTGAACACAACAGCTTCCTGGTGGCTATTTAATCTTTACAGGTACACTACAGTATCCCATATAGCCTTGCTAAGTACAAGCTGTCCCAGGTTATGAATATCTGACTTAGGTAAAACCCATAGTTATGAACCAACCTCCGTAAAGCCTATTCAGTAAAAAATTCGAGGTACGTACAATGGTTCATAATAACAAAAGGGTGCTACTTGGCGTTGTGCATCTAAACATTATTATTATTATTACTGTATTATTATGCTAAAGATGTATCTAGAAGTGTTTAATTTTTTTATGCATAGAAAAGTATACTATATACTATATACTAAGACAAACATTTGACTAACTGGTGTTAGATATGAACTTTACCTAATAACTATTCCAACTTACATACAAATTCTACTTAAAGACAGACTTAGGAACAGAACTGGTTCAT